GGTTATATCAACATCCTCCTTTTGTTCTTTCAGACTTCCAACACCATGGAACCCCAACTCCCTGAATTAAATCTCCTTGAGACTCCTGGTGTAGCTTCTGTTTTTCTAACTACACCAGATATAGCGGGAGAGTCATATCACTAGATCCCTTTTCCTGAGCTATTTTGTCCAACAGAAAGATTTGCTGGGTGCCGTGCCCTTAGCTGGACCTTTACTGTGGTACTGACCCCATAACACAGTTAGGGATTTTCACAGGGGGATGATGTCAATACCTGTGTTTTCACTTAGCCTTTCCACTCAAAATTCTTCTCAGTTTCACCTTTTATAGATTGGGATTAAGAAGCAATCTTGAAAGTCCCTGAGTGTCTTGACTCTTTCTGGTCCATTTCATTCTTACTTGCAAACCGGTCAATTCTTTTCCTTTTCTTTTACATTTAAAAAAAATATTTTATTTATTTATTTGACAGAAAGAAACACAGCGAGAGAGGGAACACAAGCAGGGGGAGCGGGAGAGGGAGAAGCACGCTTCCCACCGAGCAGGGAGCCTGATGTGATGTGGGGCTTGATAGCAGGATGCTGGGATCATGACCTGAGCCAAAGGCAGACACAACAACTGAGCCACCCAGTTCTTCCTGCACCTTCTTTTACATTTTTTAAAAATTTAAGTAAACTCCATGCCACGTGTGGGGCTCGAACTCATGACCCCAAGACCAAGAATCACATGCTCTACTGACTGAGCCAGCCAGCTGCCCCACTGAATTTTTCTTAAAGTGTGTCTTTCTTGGAGTAGTTTTTAAACATTTCTATTTATTTATTTATTTATTTATTTATTTTTATTTATTTATTTATTTAAGAAAGAGAGAGAGTGAGAGAGAGCATGAGTGGGGGGGAGGAGCAGAGAGAGAGGGAGAAGCAGACTTCCTGCTGAGCAGAGAGCCCTATGTGGGGCTCCATCCAGGGACTCCAAGATCATGACCTGAGCCCAAGGCAGAAGGTGAACCGACTAAACCACCCAGGTATCCTTTTCTTGGAGCACCTTGCCAAATATAGCTAACAGCAACCAACACACACTAGGAATGTTCTATTTCCCAACCTCTTGTATTGAGCTACAAGTTTATTAGATCCCTGATCTGCCCTCCCACTTACTGCACAGCATAGTTTCACCAAACGTTTCACTGCCTCCAACAACAATTTCTTTGCTCCTCCCTGTCCCAATGCTAAGTCACTGTCATATATTTGGATTACAGTCACGTTCCATCTCTGATACCATTTTTTTTTTAAAGATTTTATTTATTTATTTGACAGAGAAATCACAAGTAGGCAGAGAGGCAGACAGAGAGAGAAGGGGAAGCAGGCTCGCCGCTGAGCAGAGAGCCCGATGCGGGGCTTGATCCCAGGACCCCGGGATCATGACCCGAGCCGAAGGCAGAGGCCCCAACCCACTGAGCCACCCAGGCGCCCCACCAATTTTCTTTTTTTAAACAAAGATTTTATTTACTTATTTGAGAGAGAATGAGAGAGAGAGAGAGTAAGAGAGAGCAAGAGAGCACAAGCAGGGGGAAGGGCAGAAGGAGCAGGACAAGCGGACTGCCTGCTGAGTGTGGAGCCAGATACCCACCTCGATCCCAGGACTCTGAGATCATGCCCTGAGCCGGAGTTAGACACTCAACAGATTGAGCTGCCCCGGCGCCCCTCTGATACCAATTTTCCATGTCAGTTGGGAAAGGCTAGGTTATGAAGAGGTAACAAATATTCTTGTAGTCTCAGTAGTTTAACCCAACAAATGTTTATTTCTCATTCAGGCCAGTGTGTCCATCATAGGCCAACCAGGGACTCTGTTCCATGTTCTCATTCCAGGACTATTTTTTTTTTAATTTTTTAAAGAAGATTTTATTTATTTATTTGATAGAGATCACAAGTAGGCAGAGAGGCAGGCAGAGAGAGACAGAGAGAGAGAGGAGGAAGCAGGCTCCCTGCTGAGCATAGAGCCTGATGTGGGGCTCGATACCAGGACCCTGGGATCATGACCTGAGGCGAAGGCAGAGGCTTAACCCACTGAGCCACCCAGGTGACCCCCAGGACTGTTTTGAATGCTGAGGCTTACCATGGGGGAGATAAAAGGAAGAGGGAAACATGCACTGACTCTTAGAGCTTTCAACAAAAAGAAACCATGTAACTTGGCCAAAGCAAGTCACATGGCCTCACTTCGGAGGGGTCAGGCACATGCAGTTCAACTACACATCTAGGTGGAGAACAGAGCTCACCTGGTAACCCCCGGAACACCCAGACCAAGTTGGAATGGGAGAATGGAGGGCTCTGAGAAGGAAAAGAGCGAATGTGATAAGCCATTTGAGATGATAGAGCAGTGATAGAGATAACGAGAGACATCACCACATCCTCACGAGCAGAGTGAGGAGAGCACAGAGAGGTGAACCTGTCCAGATCTAATGAGTGAGAATAAATTAACAGTACAAGAAGTAATTAGAAAACAAAAACAATTAGAAACCCTAGGAAAACCAAACAGCTCTGTAAGAAAGGAAATGTAATAGTACCCACTTGGCTCTGAAAAACTAATATTCCCCTAGCTGATAATAATGTGAACACAGTATATTAGAATCAACCTGTGGTCAAAGCTTAGAGGTTTTAAGGATGGCCACAGGACAGAATTTAATGTTAACAACCTTGGCGATTAAAAATTCAGACAGGGAAGCCGAGAGGTAGAAGAGGGAGAGGAAAGCTGAATGGGAAAGGAGGGACCCAATAGCCTCACTTGACAAAGTGTGGCGCCAAGCGCTCCTGTCTGTAGACTATGGAACGACGGAAAGAGTGTATGAGTATTACTTGACCTTACAAAGGTCGCCATAGATAGAACACTGTTGGGGTGGGAGTGGAGAAGAATTATGGCCATAGTGTATGTTAATTCATCACCTGTCATGGCAGGACACTCACAGATCATGTTTAAAACTGATAAAACGAGAAATTGCTGTATAAGCATCTTATTTATAAAATTGTAGATAACAACTAGAAGAAATAGCTCAAAGAATTAAAAAGCGGTTGCCTCTTGGGAAGGGAACTGGTGGTTAGGAGGAAAGGGGCAGAGTACAAAATGCCTTTCATTATAAATCTTTCAGGATTGTTTAATTTTCAAACCCTATGGATGGAAGTATTTCTTAGGTAAAAAAATTATTAAAATACAATTACGTTTTTAAAAGGGCTTTACAGACAAATGAAGATCAAGGAAATTAAGTAACATGCTCAAGGTCATGGAGCTTGGTGGCAGAAATGGATTCAAACACGGGTTCTTTGATTTTCAGGCTGGGGTTCCTTTCGCTTGCTTACACAAGCTATCTGACAAACATTTATTGAGCACCTTCGTGGGAGATGATGTCAGGTGTAAGGGCCAAGACCTGGAAGGACTGTATTGTTCAGAGGCTGCACACAGTCTACACAGCAGGAGGGCAGACGCTTCAACCAATCCTTACAGGGCAATGTGGTTAAACGATCGTGTGTGTAAGACTTGAAAACGTAAGTTATCTTAACCACATTCAGTTGACATTTGCTGCCTCTTTTGGCTTGGACTTCCTCACTGTAATACTTACACTTAGGTTAGTCAGGTGCTGTTGGGATGGCTGTGGGCTTCTGTAAGGTGACTAAAGGAAAAGTTGAGTTGGAAATCTATTCAGTAGGATATGTGTATGTGGTTTTCAGTCATTTCTATGTATAGTTAGGTGGGTGCTAGCCATGCCAGTGTAGGAATGAAATAACAACAAATCCTTGAATAATTCAAAAGGCAGAAAAAGAGGAAAAGGGGAACAAAGGGCAGATGAGACAAAGAAACCCCAGCGAGCTAGTGACTTAACCTAATCACACCAATAATCACATTATGTGTAAGTAGCCTAAATACTATAATTAAAGGGCAGAAGTTGTAAGATTGGATTAAAAAAAGCAAAACCCAAGTAATTTTATACTATTTATAAGACTATAAAAATAAACTTTTTTTTAGATTTTATTTATTTATTTGACAGAGAGAGACAGTGAGAGAGGGAACACAAGCAGGAGGAGTGGGAGAGGGAGAAGCAGACCTCCCACTGAGCTGAGCAGGGAGTCCAATGCGGGGCTCTATCCCAGGACCCTGGAATCATGACCTGGGCCAAGGCAGACGCTTAACGACTGAGTCACCCAGGTGCCCCAGAGATACAAAAGTTCTTAACAAAATTTTCACAAATCAAAACCCACAGTATATAAAAAGTAAAATATATCATTATGCAATATATATCCTAGGGATGAAAAGTTGCTTTAACATTTGAAAAGTAATCAGTGTAATTCATCATATTAACAAATTTAAAAGGACAAACCATATGATTATCTCAACAGATGCAGAAAAAGCATTTGACAAAATCCAACATCCATTCCTGATTAAAAACTTGCAGCAAACTAGAAATAGAGGGAAGAGCACTTCTTCAGTCTGATAAAGGGCCTTTACAAAAAATCTAATGTCCTAATGTCTTACTTAATGTGAAAGATTGGGTGCCCTCTCCCTAAGGTCAAGAACAAGGACAGGATGTCGGGATCTTTCCATTTGCATTTAACATTGTGGGAGTTTCTAGTCAGGGCAACTAGGCAAGACAAGAAATAAAAGGCATAGAGATTGGAAATAAAAAGGTAAAACTGTCCCTACTTGCAGACAACATGATCATCTATGAAATAAATTTTTTTAAGATTTTATTTTAAACACTCTCTATGCCCAATGTGGGGCTTGAACTCTCAACCCCGAGATCAAGAGTTGCATGCTTTACTGACCGAGCCAGACATGTGCCCCAGAAAATTTTAAAAAGTCTATAAAGTGACACTTAAGATGAGTTTTAAGGTTTCAAAATACATGCAAATACAGTAATACACCAAAAGCAATTGTATTCTACATCCTAGCAACGTTCTGATTGAAACTGAAATTTTTATTTTTTTAAAGTTTATTTATTTTTAAGTAAATAAAAATTTATTACCTTTAACGTGGACCTTGAAGTCATTACCCCTTGAGATTGAGAGTCCCATTCTCCACCAACTGAGCCAGCCGGCTGTCCCTGAAATTGAAATTTTTAAAGTATATATATATATTTTTTTTTAATCTTTTTTTTTTTTTAAAGATTTCATTTATTCATTTATTTGTCAGAGAGAGAGTACACACAAGCAGGACAGTGGCAGGCAGAGGCGACTAGAGAAGCAGGCTCCCTGCCGAGCAAGGAACCCTATACGGGACTTGATCCCAGGAGCCTGGGATCGTGACCTGAGCCAAAGGCAGTGGCTTAACCATATATAGGGACCCAGGCGTTCCTATATATATATTTTTATTTTTATTTATTTTTTTTTTAATATTTTATTTATTTATTTGACAGAGATCACAAGTAGACAGAGAGGCAGGCAGAGAGAGAGAGGGAAGCAGGCTCCCCGCTGAGCAGAGAGCCCGACGTGGGACTCGATCCCAGGACCCCGAGATCATGACCCGAGCCGAAGGCAGTGGCCCAACCCACTGAGCCACCCAGGCGCCCTATATTTTTAAAGATTTTATTTATTTGGGGCGCCTGGGTGGCTCAGTGGGTTAAAGCCACTGCCTTCGGCTCAGGCCCTGATCTCAGAGTCCTGGGATCGAGCCCCACATTGGGCTTTCTGCTCAGCAGGGAACCTGATTCCTCCTCTCTCTCTGCCTGCCTCTCTGCCTACTTGTGATCTCTGTCAAATGAGTGAATAAAATCTTAAAAAAAAAAAAAGATTTCATTTATTTGACAGAGAGAGATCACAAGTAGGCAGAGAGGCAGGCGGGGTGGGGGGGGAAGCAGGCTCCCTGCTGAGCAGAGAGCCCAATGCGATGCGCATTTCCATCCCATGACCCTGAGATCATGACCTGACCCGAAGGCAGAGGCTTTAACCCACTGAACCACCCAGGCACCCCTTAAAGTATATTTATAATGGTATAAATACATGAAATACTTAGTAACAAATTTGACAGAAGATGAGCAAGGCTTGTAGCTGTGAACTATGAAATACTGCAGAGAGAAATTAACAAAAACCTAAATAGATGGAGAGATACACCACGTTCATGGATCAAAAACCTCAATATTATTCATGTCAATTCTTTCCAAATTGATGGATCTGACACCATCCCTACCAAAATCCAAGCAAGCTTTATTTTATTTTATTTCATTTTTAGAAATGGATAAGCTGATTCTAAAATTTATTTATTTTTTAAGGTAATTCTTTTTTTTTTAAAAAGATTATATTTATTTGACAGAGAGAGAGAGAGAGAGTGAGCACACAAGCAAGGGGAGCAGCAGGCAGAGGGAGAAGCAGGCCCCACACTGAGCAGCAGCTGGGATCATGACCTGAGCTTGAAGGGAGACACTTCACTGACAGAGGCACCCAGGGACCCCCGATTCTAAAATTTAAATGGAGATGCAAAGGACTCTGAATAGCTAAACCATTTGAAAAAGAACAAACCAGTAGGATTTATGCAATTTGGTTTCAATACTTACTATATGTGAGAATAGTCAGGAAAATGTAGTATTGATGTAAAGACAGACATGTAAATCAACAGAACCAAGTGGAGTCCAAAACCAGATCCACACACATATAGTCAACTGACTTTTGATGGAAGGCAGCAAGGCAGTTCAACGGGGAAATGATAATCTTTTTAACAAGTCGTGTTGGAGGGTCTCCTGGGTAGCTCAGTCAAGTCTGCCTTCGCCTCAGGTCATGAGCCCAGGGTCCTGGGATCCAGCCCCACATTGGGCTCCCTGCTTGGTGAGAAGCCTTCTTCTCTCTCTCCCACTCCCCCTTTTTTGTTCCCTCTCTTGCTGTGTCTCTCTCTGTCAAATAAATAAATAAAATCTTTAAAACAAACACAAAATAAAACAAAACAAAAAACAAATGTTGTTGGAACAACTGCATAGCCACACATTAAAAAGAAAAAAAAAAAAAGAACCTCTATCTTTACCTCACGCTAAATATGAAAATTAACTTGCGGGGCGCCTGGGGGGCTCAGTTGGTTAAGCAACTGCCTTTGGCTCAGGTCACGATCCCAGTGTCCTGGGATCGAGCCCCGCATCAGGCTCCTTGTTCAGCGGGAGCCTGCCGCCCCCTCTCCCTCTGCGAGCTGCTCCCCCTGCATGTACTTTCTCTCAGTGTGTCAAATAAATAAATAAATAAATAAATAAAATCTTTTAAAAAGAAGACTAGAAAAGAAAATTAACTTGGAATACATTATAGTCTAAATGCAAAAGCTAAAACTATAAAAATTCTAGAAGAAAACATAAAAGAAAATCTTAGTAACCTTGGAGTTGGCAAGGGTTTCTTAAGCAGGACACAAAAAGTCTATGGTACAAAATAAAAAATTGATAAATTCGACTTCATCATGATTTAAAAATTGTGTTCTTCAGGACACTGTTATGAAAATGAAAAGATGAGCCCCAGATTTGGAGAAATATCTGCAAAACATACATGCAACAGAGGACTTGTATCTATATATGTATAAACTTGTATTTAAAATTTTTTTAGGGACGCCTGGGTGGCTCAGTTGGTTAAGCAGCTGCCTTCGGCTCAGGTCATGATCCCAGCGTCCTGGGATCGAGTCCCACATCGGGCTCCTTGCTTGGCAGGGAGCCTGCTTCTCCCTCTGCCTCTGCTTGCCATTCTGTCTGCCTGTGCTCGCTCTCTCTCCCTCTCTCTGACAAATAAATAAATAAAATCTTAAAAAAAAAAAAAGAAAGAAAAAATTTAAAATTTTTAAAAAAATATTTATTTATTTTAGAGAGAGTGCATGTGCGCACACATGCAGGGGGAAGGACAGAGGGGGAAGGAGAGGGAGAGAGAGAATCTCAAGCAGACTCCGTGCTGAGCATGGGGCCCACACGGGGTTCGGGATCTCAGGACCCTGAGATCATGGCCTGAGCGGAAACCAAGAGTCAGCATTTAACTGACTAAGCCACCCAGGCACCCCTAAAATATTTTAAATTGAGATAAGACATACATAACAAAATTTGTCATCTTAACTGATTTTAAGTGTACAGCTGCTGTTCAACCAATCTCCAGGGTTTTTTTTTTTTTTCTTGCAAAACTAACTACATCCATTAAACAGCTGCTAATTTCCTTCCTCCCTAGCCCCTGGCAGCCACTATTCTGCATTCTATTTCTATGAATTTGACTACTCTAGTTACCTCATATAGTGGACTCATATAGTGTTGTCTTTTCGTGATTGACTTATCGCACTTAGCATAATGTCCTCGAGGTTCCTCCATGTTCTAGCAAGTGTCAGAATTGCCTTCCTTGGGGCACCTGGGTGGCTCAGTGGGTTAAGCCGCTGCCTTCGGCTCAGGTCATGATCTCAGAGTCCTGGGATCGAGCCCCGCATTGGGCTCTCTGCTCAGCGGGGAGCCTGCTTCCTCCTCTCTCTCTGCCTGCTTGTGATCTCTCTGTCAAATAAATAAATAAAATCTTTAAAAAAAAAAAAGAATTGCCTTCCTTTTTAAGGTTGAGTAGATTCCACTGTACGCATGGACCACAATTTGCTTATTCACTTATCAGTCGATGGCCATTTGGGTTGTTTCTACCTTTTGCCTATTGTGACTAGTGCTGCTGTGAATATAGGTTGTACAGATATCTTCCGGAGAGCCTGTTTTCAGTTCTTTTGGATATATAAAGAACTCTTATAATTCAATAATAAGACAATCAATCCAGTTTTTTTAAATTGGAAAAGATTTGACTAGACATTTTACCAAAGAAGAAACAAAGATCATGGTAAGTCCGCATACAAAAAGATGCTTCACAACATTAATGGACAGGAAAATATACATGAAACCTACAATGATAAAGCCCTCTGAATCCACTGAAATGATTTAGATTAAACTGACTGACCAAGCGCTGTGAGGATGTGGAGGAACTGGAACTCTCACGGGCTGCTGGTGGGAATGTGGACCAATACCTCCAGGGTGGAGAAATTTTGGCACTTTAAAAAACGTTAAACTTATGTTCTATCATATGACTTGGCCATTCCACTCCTAGGTATCTCCTAGAGAGAGGACAGTGTATGTCCACACGCAGATTTGAACATGAATGTTCACACCAGCTTTATTTGTATACTAGCCAGCAACTAGAAACAATCCCAAGTCTGTCAGTGAATGAGTAACCAAATCATGCTATAACCATAAAATGGCATTCTACTTAGCGATAGAAAGGGACAAATTATTGGTGTGTGCAATGTACATATGAATTGCAAAATAGTTTTGGTGAGTGAATGGAGCTAGAGGAAGAAGAATGCACACTGTGTGATTCCATTTATGCAGCATTCTACAACCGCAAACTGATCAAGAGTGACAGAGGCGGATTATTGTTTGCCTGGGGAGGAAGGGGAAGGGGCAGTGTGGGGCAGAAGGGAGAGATGACGAAGGGCCATGGGAAGTTTTAGGGGTAATGATGTCTTCATTGCCTCGACTGTGATGCTTTCATGAATATATATGTATATACATATTTATATATAATATATATGTCAAAACTTAAATTATATACTTAAAAAAAAGGTTTTATTTATTTGACAGAGAAAGAGATCACAACTAGGCAGAGAGGCAGGCAGAGAGAGGGGGGAAGCAGGCTCCCCGCTGAGCAGAGAGCCCAAAGTGGGGCTTGATCCCGGGACCCTGAGATGATGACCTGAGCCGAGGCTCAGGGACCCTGAGATGATGACCTGAGCAGAGGCTTAACCCACTGAGCCACCCAGGAACCCCACAAATTATATACTTTAAATATGTGAAGTCCATTGCATGTAATAATATCTCAATAAAGCTATAAGGCAAAAATAAGTAAATTCAAGTAGACCCATAAAGAGAAATACTATGTAGCAATGAAAACTATGGAAAGATATTTATGATAATTGTTGAGAGAGAAAAAAAAGCAGATTACAGAACAGTGTATCCAATCTGGTCACTTGTTTTTATTTTTTTATTTTTAATTTATCTTTATTATTATTATTTTTAAAAGATTTATTTATTTATTTGACAGAGAGTGAGACAGTGAGAGAGGGAACACAAGCAGGGGGAGTGGGAGAGGGAGAAGCAGGCTTTCTTCTGAGCAGGGGGCCTGATGTGGGGCTTTATCCCAGGACGCTGGGCTCATGATGTGAGCCAAAGTCAGAGGCTTAACGACTGAGCCACCCAGGCACCCTTTTACTATTACTTTTTAAAAGACGTTATTTTTAAGTAATCTCTATGCCCAACATGGGGCTTAAACTCACAATCCTGAGACCAAGAGTTGCGTGCTCTACCAACTGAGACAGCCAGGTGTCCCTGGCCAGTTGTTTTTAGATAACTTGATTATCCCTAGCACTCACCATTTGATTATAAAGAGTACCACACTAAAATCAAATCGTGGTTTATGCCAGCCCAGAGCCATCCTGCCCAAAGCCATCTGGGAATTCCCCTTCCCAGCCAAGTCCACTGTGCCTGTTTCTGGGTGTCCCCAAATGGGTCTCACGGCTCTCAGAAAGCAATCTCAGGTGTCATTTGTGTTGCTGACAGTGGGGGGCCTCTGCTGAGCTGAGGCTCCTGTAATGTTGCCCGCTGCGCCAGAGATGGGCTCTGTCCATGCTGCTGCTGAGCCCCAGACATGGGGTGCCCATCATTCCAGCCCTGACCCTCTTGTACCCTTAGGGTGCTCTGAGAGCACAGTTGAAGCCAAAGTGACAAGGGAAAGTACCCCATCTTGTTACACAGTCAGAGGTCCCCATGCGAGGCTGGCTTGGGCCCCAGGAGTGGTGGCATGGCATCTCTATGTCTAGAGACTGTCCTTCTCTCTGGGGAGGGGCTGCAGCAGGAGTTCAAGTACCAGCCTCTGGGAGGTGTCCCTGACGGCTGACGCCTGACCTCGCCCATCCTGGTGCAGAATGCACTCCTCTTTGCGAACCAGTCTCGTCCCAAGATCTGGTGTCTTTCAGGGACCACCCTCCTCTCGCCAAGGTCCGGGGGGCGTTTCTCCCCAACATGAATACAGATGGAGATTTTTCTAGGCAGCTCCATATGCCTATGATCATATTCTATATTTCATATCACATCATATTACTTTATATCACAAAACATAACATATGTAGACACACACGGTGGAGGAGGAGGGGGTGCCTCCATCTCCCCAGGGGGCATGTCTACATCTTTCATCTCTAGTTAAAAGCACATACCTTAAACTATGAACAGTGATTCTCTCCGAGGGAAGAGACCGTGGACGGTATTCACTTTTCTTTGTTCTGTTCCAAACTGTCTGCGTCATATTTTTCTCTGCGTACGCACGCGGGCCAGATAGTGTATATTCCGGGCCCCAGAGAGCGGGCCCAGAAGCTCGTCTCAGCATCAGGCTCAGTGTTGGGCGCGCAGCAGGTCCTCCCTAGAGGTGTGAACAAGACCGCCAGAAGCGGGTTCAGCAAGGACCGAAGGGCAGCTTTTGTGCTCTGGCGCCTGTCCTGCTCCACGTGGACCCTGCCAGGCCCGGCGCCCGCGTTTCCGGGCTTTGCCCGGCGCCTTGAGACGGACGCCTGGCGGGGCGGGGTGTCTGGTGCCGGCCAGGGTGCCCTTGCCCTTTGCGGTCGCCCGGCGGCGCGGGCAGTCCAGGCCGCCCCACCCACTGGGGAGGGGAGGGCAGAGGAGAGGAGAGGAGGGGAGGGGAGGGGACCAGAGTCATCAGGAACTCGCCCAGGCCGCTCCCACCGCCACCGCAGCCGGTGCCTTTGCGAGGTAGCTTAGGGCGCCTGCGGCAGCCTCCCCCATCAGACTCTGGTCTGGGACCTGAGACTGCTCAGACGCCCGGTTCTGAGCGTCTCCCCGCCGAGCTCCTTCTTCGACGTTCCCAGCAGGCTCCCCCGGGGCCTCTGCCCTGCAAGCTGTGGGGTCTAGAGGGCCTACCTCTTAGGTAAGACCACGGCCTCCTGCAGTCCCTCCCCTGCCTCCCATCTTGCAAAGGACCACACTCTCTAGGATCCTTGTGCTCCTGCCTCCTGGTCTGTCCCAGCACTTTCTATAGGCGGAGCTGCCTCTACCCACCCCCAACCCCACAACGGGCGTACGCGGGTGCCGGACAAGCTGCCTGGTGTCTGAGTGCCCTCTTGCCGGGCAGGCTGAGGCTTGAAGCATCCTGGGTTTTGAGCAGAGATGGGCCCGCCTTTCAGTAGGTTGGGGGAGGCTGTCCCTGGGTCAGGGTAAGGGCCTATGGACACAAGACTCAGAGTCCAGAGGGTGCAGCCAGTGTGACTCACTGGGACATGGGGTGGGTGGGGGAGCACTAGCCCTTGTTGTGCCGGCAAGGGTCTGGTCTAGGAGGTGAAGCTGGGTCCTAACCCCCAGCAGCTGGGCTCAGACAGCTGAGCCCAGGAGTTGGTTCCAGCCCCGGGAGAGGCAGGTGGTGAGAGAGGGGCAGGCAGGTCATGTCTGAGCCTGCCAGGTGGGATGGAGTTTAGGATTGGCTGGGCAGGTCCAGTACTCTGCTCATGCATCCCGCGTCGGGCCTTCGGGGCTTGTCAGCACCCCCTCACCCCCCATCACCACCACCTATGTCTTACCTCCTCTGCACTGTGGAGCAGGCTTCCCACTGCTTTCCTTGTAAAGCTTCTCTGTAAAGGGCAGCTTCTCTGAGGGGGGCCCGGCCTTGGAGCAATGTTGATGTCACCTCTACTTCCTGTCTTGCTTCCTTTGTTCCTCCCTCCTGTCTCGCTTTCCATTTATCCCACAACTTCCTTTATTCAGCCATGCCAAGCCCAAGGGGCCTCCAGAAGGAACTGGAGTCTTCAGCTTGGGGAACAGGAGAGGATGATTCATTCGTTTGATCATTCCGGTACACACGTATTTACTCCCATTCACTCACTCTTTCCCATTCAGTTACTCCTTCCCTCATTCTTGGGAAACTTAATGAGCATCTACTATGTTCAAGACCCTGAGTGTTAGGTGGGAGTGGTGGCAGGATACTCTGATGAATCAGCTCCATTCCTGCTGCCCACTGTTCAAGATCAAGAAGGGGAAATGAGCACAAATCAGCCCAATTTAAGAGAAAAAGCAGTATGAGAGAGAGATGAAGGGCTGTGAAGTGTGTGTTGGGGGGAGGCGGGGGAGGGGGACAGAGGGGACTGAGGAGGAGGATGGAAGGGTCACTTAGGAAGGGCCCAGAAGACTTCCTGGAGGTGATGTTGTTTGAGCCAGGCCTTGAACGGGGACAGGATTGGGATGTAGAGCTATCAGAAGGCATCAGGACAGAGGGAACAGCGGGAACAAAGGAAACCCCAGGTGTGCGAGGAAACAGTTGGAAGCTCTGTTCCTGGTTTGAGACAATTAGAAGAAATGAGTCTGGATGCGGAAGAGGACAGACGTGTGCTCCTATCTCCCTGCCTTCTGTTAGAGGCCGAGGGAGCAGCCCTGTTCTGGGTGACCCAGAGCCATGGTCATGGGCTAATGGCAAGACCCTTGTGACTGTTAGAGTGCTTTAATTGTTCAGTCAGCCTAAGATGGGACTGAGCCCTTCAATCTCGGAAGTATGTAAGTGGAGTCTGGGATAGTGTGTGTGTGTGTCTAGTGGGGGAGAGTTACAGGTTCTGACCCATGGAGGGGTTCAGATAGGGCTATTCTGAAAGTGGGAGTTGGAGTGGATGACATCGGAGGTCCCCTGCTAGCCCGAGTTTGTGGTCCTATCTGGAAAGGCTAAAAGGCCCAGCAGAGGGAATTCCTGGGAGTTTGGTTATTTATTCACTTACTCATTCCCTCATTTGATCCTCTACCCCTTCCTCCCTCCCTTCCTTCTTTCCTTCCCTCCTTCTTCTCACTCACTCACTATACCCTTGTTCTGGGCAGACCCCATGCTGATGACTCAGATGACTCAGATGAACTCCCTGTCTGACGGGGGAGACAGACCCCTGCCAGACAGTGACAACCCAGTATCACTGTGGCATATAAATGGAGGTTACTTTACTGTGTTTTGTCACTGAGTGGGGTGACAGAGCTGGGACATGGGCTTGAAGAATTAATGCAGACATATGTCTTCCAGCTGAAGGATATTATACGGGAAACGAAGTGCTTGCGGGAGAAAATAATCAGGGTCCGGGGCTTAAGAGGCAGGCTTTCTTGATTCGTGGGGCTCCCCAGAGGTACACTTGGGGACCAGCCCTTTGGACTACGGGCACCACAAGCTCATCCCACGTCAGCAATGAGCCTACGGGTTTTGGGCACTGCTAGAGAAGTCCTTGGTCCGCATGAGCTATGAGAGGCTACACTGAGTGTTGGTTACACCTGTGGGCTCTGGACTTCGATCAGGGTTCAAATCCTTACGTAAGTCTTTTCAGCTGCATGACTTTGGACACATGACTCTGCCTTCAGTTTTCCTCTGGAGGAGAGTGATAATGCTAGTGCCTTCCTCCAAGGGTGAGGCTCAGAGGTGGTACCGTACCCGAGGGGCTGGCACGGGGCTGGGCGTGTATGTGAGGAGCTGTAATGACAGTGACGGTGGCCATGAGAGTGAGGGACAGTCACAAGCCATCTCAGCCGTTTCTGGGTCTCATTCTCCCCACCTGTGTCCCCAGCTCACTGGCTTCCACCATATGGTCCTTGGACCAGCAGCATCAGCATTCCTCTGGATCTTATTAGAAATGCAAATTATTGGGCTCTCTGGGAGCCTTTGCTTTCAGCAGTCCGCATTTTAAACTGCCTTCTGTGTGATTCTGATGCAGGCTGAAGTTTGGGGACCACTGGCCTCACTCTCACTTAAGACTGGGTCTCTACCCACCTTTCCAGGACTGTGATTCACCCAGGGCTGTGGCGTGTTTCCTACGTTTAGGACCCTGGTCTGCGGGCTGACAGGGATTGGGGCCAGAGATGATAAGATGTGGCGTCAGCCCTCAGAGGACTTGTGGGAGAGTCGGGAAGGGGAGGCAGATGCCCATGGAGATCTTCACTGGAGTCACAGAGCTGCCAAAGAAGAGCAGAGAGGAGAGAGAACTTTGTGGGCTGCAGAGCCTTCTGCAGAAAGATCTGGATCTCTGTGGCCTGTTCCTTTTTTTTTTTTTTTAAAGATTTTATTTATTTATTTGACAGAGATCACAAGTAGGCAGAGCAGCAGGCAGAGAAAGAAGGGAAACAGGCTCCCTACTGAGGAGAGAGCCCGATGTGGGGCTCGATCCCAGGACCCTGAGATCATGACCTGAGCCAAAGGCAGAGGCCTAACCCACTGAGCCACCCAGGCACCCCCTCTGTGGCCTGTTCCTGACAGGATGCTGATTCAGCCTTGCTGGGAGTCCTCTCCTAAGTCTTCCTCATGGACTTTGGGTGGCTCGCCTCTCATCCCTGGGCTTCAGGGTACCCCTGTGTGAGATAGGGGGATTAGACTGAGTCTAGTGTGTCTGAGACATTGTGAGCCACTGGTGAGAGGGTAGGCTGGGGACCAGAAGCTCTCTGGGTCTCTGCACCGCAGAAGCCTGAAATTGGCCTTCCTGTCTGCTGGGATGCCGTGTGCTGAGCTGTGCCTTCTCTGGGCTGGTTTTCTTACCAGTCAGGGGAGGACTTATGATCCCTGTCCTGTTCACTTCACACGGCTTTTGTCACGTGGGACATGTGCTTCATTCTTCGAAGCTTCTTGCTGCCTCAGCCTGGTGGCCTGGCATTTGAGGCCCTCTTCAACAGATTCCCAGCTTTTTACCGCAAGATGAGCATCCTGTTCTGTTCCTGTTAGACCTTCCATCTCACTCCTCTTCTCAAACTATCCAGACCCATTCAATCTTCAGGCCAGAAAGCACCACCTCCTCCAGGAAGACTCCTCGATTGCCCCACCCCTCAGGGCCATCCTTGGACCATCTTGCTGTCTTTAAGGCTTGATTTTAATTTCTCACTCGTTGACACTGAACTGCTGGCAGACCCCTGACCTCTTTCAGGGAAAGGCTTGAGCTCACAGGGATAGACATGAGAATCCTTTCAGAGGCACACGGAACGTTCGCGAGAGAACAAGGCCCAGAACCCAGGTGTCTTAGGCTCAGAGGGAGACATCATTAGCTGTGTGGGGAGTGAGCTGGAGGCAATGAAGGGCAGATCGGGCCGACCTGTGTTCCAGCATGGCTCTGCACTCAGCAGCCGTGCCACCTGGGCCATGTCACCTTCCCCCTCCAGCTCCAAGGGACCTTCCGGTGGGCTGGAGTGAGGACAGCACTAGGCCTTGGACACAGCAGGTGTTCGGTTATTGTGAGGAGATCATTATGACTCCTGATCCGTTTGCCCACCCTGGCTCCCCTGCCTGGCTCTGCCCTGCCTTCTTCTCTTAACCACCAAGGACTTTATTTTATTGGCCCATCGTGAAAAGCCCAAGTGTCAGTGTCAAGGCCTCCTTGTGAAGCCTCTTGCAGAAGCAAGAACGACAAGGGAAAATCTGGGTGTTCTCTTAGTCTGTGGTGGCTACGGGGGGCCTGGGGTGGGATTTGGCAGGTGTCACTTTAAGAAGTCACACCCCTTATTTTAAGGAAGGAGGGGGTGTGCCTGTCCCTGGCCAGCAGCTGGCATTGGGCTGCACTTGGGGGCAGCACTCCTAAGGGTGAGGAGTCCTAGCAGGTGGGTCTGGTGTCTCTCTGGGAGGCCACTGGCTGCTCCTTGGCTTCCTGCCACCTCCGGCCTGACCCCTTGTGGACGGATGGAAGCCTGGTGACCGTTTTGCCAGTCTAACTGGCTGGGGCCGGTGAGGTGGGGACTTCCGGCCCCTGGGAGGGACCCCAGGGCCAAGAGACCCCGTGAGCAGGATGTCAGGGGCTGGCAGTGGGGGTGACTAAGTTCAGCTGTGGCTGAAAGTAAAGCGAGTGTCCCGAGAGGTGCCCAGCGGGCGGGCACAGGGCCCCCTGATGTGGCCGGGGTCCAGTTGGCAGCCTCTCTCCTTCCTGTCTGCCAGGCGGGCCC